TTGTTGTTGAATAATAAATAATATAATATGTGTGTGTGTATGTTATTTAACTATTATTTGCGTAAACTGATATTATTGTAATTTTATTTTAACAATAAAATATGAAAATAACCTCCATCCCATTTTACGTACAAGAGTAAACTTATAACAGACATAATACATATTTCACAATTCACATGCGTGTATTTTAATATGCATTTGTAAACGTTTCTAGATACATTTGTTTTTTACAAAATCCAATTCTCAATATAAACATTGAATATTCAATACGTTTCCAGAAGAAAACATAATTCAAAAGAAAATTGTACTAACTGAAATTGTGAACTTGAATGGTTCATGGATATAATAGTATGAGTACAAGTGTTTTTTATTACCCTTTACCTACACAAATATATAATATATGTATAGGCTATATATTTGATGTTAATGCAATTTCTTATAGTTATAATTATGTTTAACTATGAATAATATTAGTTTCCTAAGTAAACACCAACATTTTAAAACATTATGAACACAATACGTAATGCGTACACAATTGCTTTTTGATCTAATAACAATGTTGTAAATAGTAATAATCTAAAGAGTTATAAAAATAATTTCCACTTTACTACTCTTTTTTGTTTTAATCATGACACATAAATAAAGTTTACGGAGTTACGAGTTGTTTTTTTATAAACAATTTTTCTGAGTATCTTAAGCTTTGTGAGGCTCATTGCGTTGTATTTTAAAAATATATTTTGATAATAATAAAATAACGTAAGTATAGTAAGACACATATGAGTTCATGAATAATACAAATATGTATGACGTTCACCTTTCTGGGTTTACTTTATAAATGGGACCTATTATATTTTTTTTTAAGCGTCATATTACTCATATTTCAAAATATAAAGAAAAACAATTGAAACAACTTGTGCGAGTCGTTGTTACAAAATTTTAAATTTACACATTGATAAAAATTTACATTGTTGGCCAATCAACTAAATTATTTTATATTCTATACAGTTTGAATAATTTAGTTTAAAAAGATGTTGGGTATCGATGATCAAAGAATTTTGATTTTTTTTCTTATGTGTCATTCACTACCAGGCAGACCTCAGTAACGTTTTAATATTGAGTCCACTTCTATAAATTTAGGGAAATTATTAAAATCTTAAATCATATGATTTGACTGATGACCATTGATACATCATACATAATAATTTAAGCAAAAAAGAATCTAACATAAAATTACATTCTTAAATTCGAATAAGTTCATTTAGTTTATAATTTCGACTTGTGTCATCGTAACTAAAAAAAAAAAATCAAAATTACACATATCATTATATACTTGGTTGCAGATCTATTTGAACTCGGTTGCAATAGTTGTAAAATAAATATTTTTAAATATAACCTTGTGCAACAGTATACCTACTTCCGTTGCAGTTTAAAAGTTGTGACTTGTCAGCGTGACAGTGTTAATGTACGGAAGTTTTTAAAACCAGGTATAAGATAAAGGGCGAACACACAAACAAAAATAATATACCAACCTAACGGGGATCGTAAATATAGGAAACTAATGGCTATTCGCTTTTCGTACGCATTGGCATGTCATCAGATAAATGACGATAACTATGTGTGTGGAAAAAATTACTTAATTAACTGTAAAGGTCGGTTTGAAAAACCCTGTGTGCAGTGGTGTGCTCATAAAATAACTTAAGTTAAAATCTTAAAATTGATAAAATATATAATATACCCGCCCAAATCAAACACTTAGTAATTTTCATTTTTTTTGTAATTTACCTTTAAAATTCTAGTTTTGGGAAAGTTTATAGGAAAAATGTCTTCAACGATGTACTCACGAAACTCTTTCTGTACCTATGTACGCGTTTGACAGAAAAAATGTATCAAATTTGATCGCAAACAAAAAATTGAAATAATATTTCAAAAAATGTTAAATATTATATTATACACTATTATATAATTTTAGTTATTGATTTAAAATGTCCACAATAACCATGTTTAGATTAAATAATTAATAAGACAGCACGCTGCGTTATAGAAATCACGTTTAAAGGATATCAAAAACGTCTAAACTTTTCGTTTGTCTAATGACTAATAAGACGTAACAAGTAACAACTAATATAACAGTTGCAATTAAAAACAAAGGATTATTAATTTATAAGATATGAAATAAAAACGATTAGGTGTTCATAATAACACTGTACCCATACTCGTTTGACGGTTAACGTCAACTATGTGAAATTCGTTCATAATTAAAGCGGTATATTTTATTCTACGTGCTCCAACTGGCGGACGTAGTCTGGTCATAATAATTAAACGAAACGTCAAAAAATAATATATTTATATTATATTATCCTCTAAAACCTGCAACGGGTACACCTGAAAACACGGGTTTCAAAAGATTAATTTTTTACCAACCACGTAGGTACCCATTCGCATCCATGTTACTGTCGTCGTCATCTGATGAATTTAAAGTACCTATGTGTACTGTACAAACAAAAAGTCTTATTCGTTGTCAAAAATTACAGTCACGGCTTGGCACGGCTTCGACGACACCACATATAATCCTAAAATCCCAATACATATATTTCTGCACTTACAACATGCGCATATACAATATATACTGTGTATTCACGTACCGCAATAATAATATATGTGCATTATGCATTCGAAAAATATTTGAGAAGAAACTTTTATTTTCGCGGTACATTTAAATATTCGACATTTTGAAATGCATACAAACGCAATAATGACAAGATACGGTATAATATCATACAATGAATAATAATCATATTATTAATAAAGCCAATAACCATTATTACGTCACGTCACGCTGAAACTTATTATGTATTATTGTGTTTGCATAACAAAGAAATTTCAATTATATGATAATTATATTTTCGAAAATGCTTTATACTCTGCGAGTACTGCCATATTTATTTCGAACCCTTCCACTCATACTTGAAAATGGAATGTTATGTAACAATTAATAATTATGTAATAATTCGGTACGTCTACCTATTTGGTTTAATACTATTTTAATTTGCCATCTCGAAACTGTAACAATATTATGAAGGCGAAACCAATTACTATTCAGTATTCCTCATGGTTTACTGTTTATAAGTAATAAGCACATCTCTGCATGAACATATTATATAGTTTAAGGTATTATTATAATATTAACAAACGAATATGATTAAAACTGTTTTACATAATATATCATTATACAGGCGCGTGTATGTTATTATTATACTTGTGGCGTATGTATAATAGTATTATTCGAACTTTCGGGAGAACAATATCTGAAAGAACCCACAATATCACGAATGGTATAATATGATACCGAATAAACGTCCATGTCGCATTCGACTTTAATTAGTTCATTATATTTCTACGAGTAATGTACACTTACAATAAGTTCAAATATTGTTTATACTGTCTTAGAAAAATTCAACAGATTTGACATTTTGCAATAGTAAATCAAACTTGGTACTTTGAAAAGAAAATTAAATCTCCATTTAAATTAAAATTTAAATAGTATTTATCAATGTAATATCATATTATCATAGACAAATATAATATGATGTCGTAATAGGTAATGATTAGTTTTTGTTAATTTCTGTAAATAAACTGTGAGATCAAACTTTAAATAAAAACAATACAAATACTAAGATTAAATTGGCTTTAAGTGCTGTGTTTACAAAAAATTGTAATTACCAAAGATTCCTGTATACAATACCGTTAAATACGTATGTCACTTGTGTCTTGTCAGCTTACTCGAAATGTGTGTTTTAGATTTGTATTGTTTAGTTATATAATATATTATACTTATTAGTTACTGTTAATAAATATACAAAACACATAGGTATTTGAAATTGAAAAATAATTAATCGTCATATTCGAAAAACAGTTTTAAACTGAGTTCATGTGAATTATGTATTTTGGATACTGATTGTAGCCGTTATTCCTTGCTGTAAAAACTGTAATGATTATAACAATTACAATTTAAAAAAATGTTAAATAACTTACTAACTATAAAATATATCTAAAGTACCTAGTACAAAATATTGCAGTGTAATAATTTACATTTTAAATCAAATTTTGTATAAGTTTATAATACCGAACTATAGCTTTATAGTTAAGTCAAATGTTGTTACAACAAAACGTTGTTATTATTAAGTTAAAAATATATATTCTGTAAGTTATAAAAAAAAACATACATAAGCTAAACAACAAAAATAAAAACAATTTTGTTTTTGTTCATAAGTATTCCAAGTTTTAAAAACTTGAATGTTTTCTAAATATGTATTGTATTTTAAACATCTATTAAAATGTGTGTTTATACTTTGGACTTTGACACGGTATATTATATTATACGGGTAGGTACCTATAAATTCCATTAAGTTTATGGTATAATACAGGGTTTATTGTATAACTGTATACAGTGTACAGTCATATTTTTGCGCCTTTATAACATTACATAATATAATAATTAAAACATGCCAAAACTCGTGTTCGCTGTGTATAGCTACTACACGATTCCGCCATTGATATTAGATAGCACTAATAGTAACAATATGTTACTTGTAGTAACATCGAAGGATGAACACCGACTGTCTCCATTTAATGCTGTTGTGTATATCACTGAAAAATCGTATTCGTAAAAATACTTCATAATTCATCGTCTAAGTTTAGCTATCGTCTAGTTGTCATTAAACTAAGATAGTTTGGCTATAAATATAACTTAATAACTACAATATATTGTGGAAATACAGAATGACACCGGAATCCACCTATACGTTAGGTTTTTAATTTATTCATACAACCTGCCACATTATATTATATAAGTAATTTAGTTAATAATTTAGCAAATTCTTTGAGCCTCACGAGTCATTGAAAATAATCTTAGATAGCTTAGTTTAACTTCCACGTTTCATACACTATATAAGATATATGCATATAAACTTGAATAACAATGAATTAATTTATGTTTATAGAGACCATATGTATTGGAACACAGTGATTCTAATGGCCTGGTCCTTGGCCACGGTCTCCGCCATTTTGGATTCCACCAGGAGTCAACGTTACTGGGAGGACACGAAACCCGAAGAAGCTGGTCGCTATCAAAACGACAACATGCTGAAAACCTATATGGTCAGAGGAGGAGGAAATAAACATTTCGTGACCTCCGTGTTTCCGGGTACCTATATAATAATATATTTAACAGTAAACATTTTATGATTTGATCACACGTACAAATAAATGCCATAGACCATCTTACTTTTTAGTAGGTAGGCATTCAACATGCTTCAAAACATCTTCGTAGATATAAAAAGTGATAGTCTCATTCAAGACTTGTGAACTGTAATGAGGTTCTAATACCAAGTTTCTGTCTAGCTCTATCATACGAATTAAAAATATTGAATAGACAATCACGTGACATTATGCTTGTATAAAAACAAGACATAAAATTAGTTTTAAAGTAGGTAATTACATGATGAAATACTGTTTCCATAACAGTTTATAATAATGATACATATTTATACTGTTTAATATATACAGGTACTTGGGTATTGTTATGACTTTACAACATTAAAAAATAAGCAATTAACTTTAAGCTTTATTTCAGACATTATTGTAGATTTACCTACACTTTGGCAGTTTGACAGTTTAATAAAGGTTAACATTCGATAATTAAATAAACTCTTAAATTATATTTAAGAAGTGTATGACAATATAAAAAAATATATATAACATTTTAAAGAACTTTTATAAATCTACTTTACTTAAATATGTTGTATGAAAGTCAACTAATACTGACAAATTTATGAAGAATATTATAATGATTAGCTTATCTTTGTAGAAAGATAATAATTGATTTAAAATGTTTAAATACATTTTATTCGACTGCTAGGAAAGCTTTTACTGAGTTTTTACTTGAAAAAGTATATCTTCTTAAATTTTTTTCCTCTCTCTGTTAAATGTATATATTGTCGCTGAAATTGAATAAAGTAAAACTATTTTATCTCAGAAAGCCAACAAAGAATACATTTTTTCAACGATTCTCTGAGAAATCCATTTTAAATGTTGATACATTTGAATTTATGAGAATTCTTGTGACATAATAGTTCATTGTTTTAATATTAATTATCCAATAATATTTCCCAGTGAACATAATGTAAAAGAGATGGACACAATATTAAACTACTGAACTTCCAAATTATTCGTATATTAATATTAAATGTCACTACACGAGTATGTATTTTACACAATACCTAAATGTACGATGATTAGTGTTTCGTTAAAATATTTTTGTCAATATGTCTTATAGAAATGGATGCCAGAGGATTTCATGAATATGTTTTTGACGGACTACAGCCGGATTTTCAGTGGCCGTCAATTAAGTTTAAAAGGAACTATTATCCGCAAGGAATTACGTCCAGAGGGTTCAGCGATGATATTTTTCACCAAAGCTTTGGAATGTTCGAGCCCTTAAAAAGGTACGTAGTTGAAAGTAGTGAATTATGTAAGGCACCAAAAAAATACACAAATAAACTCATTAAACGGTCAAGTTGAAACGTGAGTTTAATTTTGAGCTAATAAATTTAAACATGATAAATTTACGAATATTTCATAAAATATACAGTTATTTGTACAACAATTTACGACCCTCTATGTACATAATATTATAGGAAACGAAAAAAAAGATTATTAAAAATCATATTGATGGGTTTTGATGATAATTAACAGAAATGTGTTAGCAATTATATTAGATACCTATGGCCATTGTCACTGTCCCATATATATTATATTATACTGGTAACAAATGTTACCAAATTAAGACTCATTGTTATGTATTCGTGGGCAATGTGTACAGGAATATATACTTACATCATTGAGAATCATAACTATGATTCGTTTATGGATTCGGTCTTATCATTACCATTTTATTAATTTAATTTTCACTAAATTATGATATAATTGTACTGTTCAATTTGAAATATTCTGTCGATTAAGTAACTTGTTGACAACGACAAATAAAAAATCATTCATGTTTAAATAAAAAACTGATATTTTTATGCCTGATTATAATATCATATTTTTAATAATTAAAGTATAAATAATATATTAAGTTTTATGTATTTTTTTAAAATATTAAAATTGTTCATTAATGCAGTAGCTAGAGACAATATGTTTAAAATAAACAAAGATATAACGCCGATACCCATGCAGTCTCGTAACTTGGAGTAATATTTTATTTTTATATTTTTGAAGAGAGAAAATATATTTTTATTTTAAAAATGTGTGTTAAAAAATATAGAGGGGTGTAGTGAAACCCTTCTACCCACGTCGAATATTCTACCCGCAACGAATCTATACAGGCAGAACTAAATAAGTCCATGAAGTATTGTGGAAAATATCAAGTAAGTTGTTCGAATCGGGGCCAAGGCGTGTGAAATCAGTGCAAGTCCGCTTGTAATGATGGCATACGAAAAAAAAAACATTCGTATTATAATGAGCACACCATGAAGCTTACCAATACAAAATTTAAATCTTATAACAACTTATTACTTATTAGTAAATACATAAAACGCACACCGAAAATAATATCAAGCTCAATAATGCCTTTTTTTGTTAAATGTGTTGCAACATAAAATAAATTAGAGTTTACAAGGTGGCGAAACGACATACTTACCCCCTTTAAAATGTTTGCAGTCAACTGTCCCCGCTTGCATCTTCAGATTACGCCTATGCTGACATCCACTTAAACAAAACTTTGTGTACTTATAATATCCTACAAAAATCATGCAAAAATACACAAATTGATCATTATTATCATAAAAAGTTCAAAATGTTAATAAATATAAGTACAAGTGGTGTTTTTCTTTGGATTTTCGTATATAATTTGTGTAATTTCAAATAAGGCAGTCCTTTAATGAAGTGAATATCTGAGTTTAAAAAAAAATTAATTCTGAAGAGATAATAATGATAAAAAACGTATGATTGTTGGTGAAATATATTATGCCAATGCTATTAAGTACATTACATTTTTACTAATATTAAATCCATAATATACATTTTTTTGTTTCAGAAATTAAAAAGTAAAATTTGATTTGTACACTGTGATATAAGTGGTACATTTTATATTTTCAAACCATGACAAAAAAATTTAAAACTACAAAGTTGATATTTACATATTACATACATTTACAACACTCGTACCTACTGTAGGTACTTAGACACATGTGCATTTTTTGTTCGCTGTTTCTATAAAGTTGTGTAAAATATTGTCGACTTTCTCAAATTTTCGTTAGAAACAGCAAACTCGTATTATTATTATATTCCATTACCCGATTAGAGTAAACAAAAAATATAATGTATAGTTTATCTCCTTGTGGTATGCATAATACCGTTTGGTATAGCAATGTTGAGTAGTAGTGGTAATCAGTAAGTACATATTAATGTTATAAATTAAAGTCAGTGTTACGTCTACGTGTAATCGATCTAAAAAGATGATAAATCATATTTTACCTAACTAATTATAATCAACACTTTATCTGGTAAATAAACGTACAGCATTGTTATATGTTTGTTACGAAATGATGTTTAAAATTAGACTATTTCTGAGTATATTTTATATTTTTAACACGCATTTCTATTATTAAGTTATTATTGCGTACTTATGATTGACCGGGTATCGAATATTTTAATTATTTTAATACTCGTATTTACTGAAAAACAACCTGAACTTCGTTTATAATACGAAATACTGTGGACACGTCTTCACAGTGTAGTGTATGGTATACGTTCAAATTGTACGAAATCACTCCAAAGTAATAACCCGCAACAGTCGCAAATAGGTAATTGTATTTGAGGTCGGTAGACGAGACTTTTGGTTTAAAAACTATTCCAAAATAAGATCGTGTAAAAAATAGACTATTATGGAATAATAATACAATGCGTATACATAAGTACGATACAACTCATATGGACAAACATTTGTTTAAACTACGACTTCGATTAATTCCGTACATGTTTGTATAAAATTTGGAGAAAACTATAACGAAATTCCATTACACAAGACGACCGCGACAGAAGTTGTCCAGTTAGGTACGTCTTGAAATACACCTTCAAGGATTCGTATGTATTTCACGTCATGTGTGCATTGTACAGCGATGCATCGTCGGTCGTTAATCATAATAAACAAATAAGTAAAATTAAAAAACTTGTGTTCACTCATAATTATTGGACCTTGGACCAAGATAAAATCTCCGGTCTATAAGCGCGATGAGTAATATTAGCAATTACCAGTCTACATCATGAAAATAATGTGCATTGTATAGTCCAGTTATACACACAAATATAATATTTATGTGTTATATAACATTTCAGTGTTTCATAATTTGGAATAAACTCGAGCAAAAACCGTAATAAGTATAAACCAAATCTAAAACATCAAATAATACATAATTCAGAAATCACAATACCATAGAGGAGCTGAATTAGATTGACAGTATTATAATTAAGTATTTAAACGTGAATTATACATTCTGATTACCATTCTGTCATTTATATGAAAGTACGTGTATGTAATACATTATTATTATTATTCCATTTATATATTATAATATTATGTTGAAATGACATATTCGAAAATACTTTTGTACTGGAAAATATCAGTATGATTAAATATTTATCATAATAAATTGCTTACTGTCGGGAAATAATATTTGATTTAATTTCTGCATGAACCGATAAAAAGAAACTTAAATTACACTCGTATTTAGATTCTTGATTTATTTTCCACCCGAAATAGTTTTACAAACGACCGATTTCTTGTTAAATACGAACATCTTATATAATATGACAATGGTGCTTAACATTTATTATTATATTAAATGATTGTATTAATAATCCATAAAATAAAAAATCACTTATTAAAAACGTGAATCAAACTTTTAATTAGTTCACAAACGGTTAACAGTGCCAATGTGTTGACATAAACTAGGCATTATATTAAAATAAATTGGATATTCATTTTCATATGGACAACAATAATATTATGCGGAAAAAACATTTATAATTCTATGACAAAAATGATACAGATTTCTAAGTGGTTTATTCTTATAAATTTTGTATTTTAATCTCTGTATATAATAGTTGATTTTTTGTGAGTAATAGCATTTTATTACTTAACAAGACTAATGCTATAATTTAGATTTATTTAATTTGTAATTTTTTTACGCTCATTTTAATTATTTATAATTCATTATTTTCATCATTCAATTTACTCATCGGTCATTTCATTATATTATGCAAATGATTAGTTACTTCATCGACACATGGTTCAAAATGGTTATACCCACAGAATAATTAATCATAAAGTAAACAATAATTACGCAAATTTTATCGCATCAATCTGATCATCTAATTGGTTTGTAATATAAAAACACTTTTCACATTATTTATTTGTTCATTTGTTATGAAGTAAATATTTTTATTTTTTTATTTTTTTCAACCATTGAGATAAATATTTTAAAATTTAAATTGTTAAAATCTAAACCTGAATGAATATTTTTAATTTAATTGACCAATTTAATGATGTAAATATTTTTTATTATCCTTAAAATGAAAAATTAAATAATTATAATATATTATCATATTTTATTAGTGTTGTATTTTTATTTTTACTGTACATTTTCATATGATCAATGATTTTTATTAAAATATATGTTAGAGTTCATAAATATTTTGAAAAAGTTTGAGCCTTTTTAGTGGCCACCTGACCTTTTACAGCAATGTACCTAAACCATTTATAATAATTAATATCTAACAAAAATAGTTTTTACTTTAAAAAATTTAAATGATTTAGGGTTATAAATGTTATCTTTGTTACATGTACATTGGAAATGGAATTATGATACATTTATATAGGTACTTGATAATTCGATTTATATAAATATGTCATTAATGATACACATATTTAGCGTACAAAACATAATTTGGTATTAGTTATTTGTACAACTATACAAAAATAATTGTTACGATATGTGTTCAAACAATCCTGAGCTGGAGCACGTCGTACCGATTCTTCTGTTTTTGTAATTTTTATTTTATATCGTTAAAGTTGTGATAAGCAAAAATGAAACTCGATACATTTGTTTTTAAATGTGCATAATTAAGATGACTAAAACAAATGAAATCGTGTCCCAGATAAAAACAATCGACTCTGTTTGATAAGTACACTAGTGTACTTGGTATGTAGGTTGCTATATTGTTTCTTACATGACCTACGTACATTGCACACTCATGCGATGCGTGCACATATGTTTAGTCCCATTTTCGAGAAAGATAACTTCAATTGCGTTTACGTCTTACAGATAACCGTAATAATAATCGAAAATAAAAAAACAATAACAATTTTCCGTTTCGTGTTCAAATCGAGATACATTGACCTACTATGTAGCATTATGAAATCAAAAGAGTAACATGACTCTGTGCACTTACTTATATATGTGTCTACTGTTTATACCTCAGCGTATCATAACTGCGTTTTCACTTACAATATGTATTTATTCTATTTGAAAGTCATATTATTCTAAAAATAAATACATTTTTCTGAAGCATTACGCGCTCGTTATAATAGGTAATTTATCTTCAAAAAGTGAAAACAAAAGATACGAAGCCGGCGTGTTTGCTTTTTAAAAAACATATTTTTTAAAACATCGTTGTTAAGCTTCTGCAGCGATAGGACTGTTGAAGTTGGCAGTTTTTCATATTATACCATTTACCTAATATTACTGTTTGAATATTTTGCATATCATGTCTGTTTGCGTTGTTTAATTTGATTAAGTTTTATTACCGGTTTAAAATCCCATGAAATATTTTTAATTTATAATAATATTATGTGTTTTGACATATCGAATGAATAATAAAAAACCAATTATTAAGCGGTCAATTCAAATAATATTATCATGTACGCGATCATTTATAAATATATTATTTATAACAGCGATTGCCACGATGAAAATATCATTGTTGGGGGAAAAAAGTAATAATGAATCAGCGTGACAATTTGGATTTTTTGCTAGTCGCATTGACGAGTTCGCGTCAACGTTCGCTCGGTACCCGAACAGCCATAGTAATATTATTGTTTCCCTCGAGGATTGAACGATGATATTATATTTTACGATTTACATATTTTAAACGTCGTATAGGTGTATGACGCTCTTCATAATACAGCTACCTGTAATATAATAATCATCCTCAGGGGACACCAAGGCTGGGCCAGTTATTAACGAAAAGGTATATTTAAATCGTTATGTTAAGTGAATATAAAAATGTGAGTCAAACTTTAAGGTTAAAAATCAGTTCCATTTTTTTAAACAGAATATTTACAATCCACACTAAAAACACAATATTTAATTTGAGTATAATATAAAACAACAAAAAAAAAACAAAAATGTAAAGTTAAATATAAAAGATTAACAGAAACAGAAAAAAGAGAGATACGCCCAATTAATAGAAGTTGTTAGTCATTCAGATACATTTTTAAAAAGTTAATTTTTAGGGTATCATGGCACCGGTGGCAGGTTGATTAGATCGTTCAAACTTCGAACTGAGTTATCTAGGAGCGTTATCGTTGAGTGATTTGAAATAATTGATTTTGGGGGCATTGTAATTTTCTATGGACATTTATTTTAAATAGTATTTTCGTAGATTATTTTGAAATTATTGAAATCTAGAAATCGTGAAGTTAACGCTCAGATGCTATATAATTTTATGTTTAGAATACATACAACATTACCTATAAATAACATACCCTAGACTGTTAATTTAGTTATAATCTATATACATAATAATAATTTGTACAAAACAAAATACATTTTAAATCTATTGGATTCATATAAAAGAAATAAAATTGACTAAGAGTGACTTCAAAATTAATTAACTGATTAGTAACTGCGTACCATGGGATACATTTTAACTACTTAAGTTGGAACAAAGAAACTTTTAAAAATAATTAACTCGTTCTGTAACTTGGTCAAAAGTAACCTAAGTCTTAAACTTAACTTTAACTTTTATCTCGTTAATGTCTAGTCTTGGAGTACACACATATAGACTTTTTTTTTAAATACTGACGATAAAGTTGTAGGTTTATGTAGAAGGTAAAACAAATTAATATATAAATATAAAATAATATAACTAATATTGATGTTAATATGTAATATTCATATTCTGTATAATATACCTTATACAATATACATCTATAATAAATACAACTTTCGCATACAATATATGTCATGAAATATATTTTAAAACCGTTTTTTTTTTGTCCAACCATAAATAATATGCATGTGCTCCATTTATCGAATGCAAGGGTGTGGATTATTTTACAGATTTCTTGTTGAAATCGATAAATGTTTATCTATGTAATATAAATATTAACATTTTGATGATTAAAGTCACTTCTGACGATAGATCAAATATATTTTTAATTTAAATTATCCTTATCTAGTTAAATATAATAATATGTACTTAAATATTAACGCTCGTAAGTTATCTTAAAACAATCAGAATAGTTACGACGGTAAATACCGTTTTGCTAAATAAATTTTGATTGAAAAAAATCATTTTTTAGCTTTCATTGCATTGTGTGCTTATAATGTCCTATTTGTTTTAATTTATATTAAAGAAAAATATAATGTGTTGTTTAAATTGTTGTCGTTCTTAAATTTGGCGGTATTCCGTGAGCGGGCCGAGCGGTTTTGCAAATTATGACTGATTATCGATGGACTATTTTCCATCTCACGAGCAACGCTAAAACGAGGCCTCTGAAAATATAATATATGCCTTACTCATCGAGTTTCTTGATATATACATTCACTAACGTTTTTTTTTTTTTTTTAAATTCGTTATAACCACAACAACAACAACAACAACATACTAGTATATCGCGTTACCACCGCCTGCATAAGGTTATGATGATGATCGGTGCCGTAGCTAGGGTGGGGGATTAATGGCTTACCCAAAACATCAAAACCGCCATCATGCTCAGCAGTACCGGCAGTACCCTGGCAATAAAAAATTGAAATCCCAGCTACGGCACTGAATTGTTGACGAGACACGATGACAACAGTAATAATCACGTGTCGTTCGAACACGGTTTTTCCCGCAGGTCGGTGTCCAGAACGTCGCCGTCCGTTGCAAACATGTTGCGGCGCCTGTACCCCAACGCCGGCGCCGGCGGCGTCAGACTGCGCCAGCCCGAGCACGCCGCCAGAACAGCCGCGGCCAAGCGCCGGCCAGAGATGGACGCCAACGGGTTCCACGGCGATTCGTTCACCGGCGGTTTCGACCGGTTCGACACGATGAAGCGCAGGCCCGAAATGGACGAGACCGGTTTCGAGGGCGACTCGTTCACCGGTTTCGGCGGGTTCGAGACCATGAAGCGGGACGGCGGCGGCGGCGGCGACGACGGCAAGAACGCGGCGCGCCCCACCGGTCGTTCGTTCGGACAGGAGTAGCGGCGGCGGGCGGCATTCTACCACCACTACCACCACCGTCACCGTCACCGTCACCGTCACTACCCCCAACGTCACTACCCCCAACGTCAACCCTCAGCAGGAGTACTCGTCGTCATTGCAGTCGCCATCGCCTCCGCCGCCGTCGTCGTTGTCGACGTTTTATAAAACATTATATAATATAATACGAAATACGAAATTATAATATACGTATTTGTAGGCAGTAGAAATCGCATTAAAATATTACTAAATATTATAGACACTTATTTACCGTAGGCGGAAATCGTGCGCACGACCATTTCCATATGAGAGAGGCTGACATAAAAAAATAGTTAGGTTTTTCTATTGACGGGTACTACTACTGCTACAGTACCCCATTACGTGATTTTATCTGTCAATAAATACTTACCACTTTTAGTGACCTATACGTTTCTATATGGAAAGTATTTCTAAAAAAAAAAAAATTTTAAATAAAATATTTTCAATCTTCGAGGGCTTTGCTAGCTTCGGGAGAATCTAAATCCACCCTCCCTGCACGATTTCCGTCAATGCTTATTACTTTCATTATCATTAATATTATTATTGCAATTGATTGAAACGATGGACGATCGGTGTGATAAACGTGCGATGTTATACCTATTATAATATTATACACATAGTCACATAGATGTGTATAATGTGTCGATAACTACATTATTATAAACTAATTTTTGTTCTAAATTATAATCTGAAATAAATGAGATATGTAAACATTTGTTGGTTTCTATGGTGAATACGGCGTGGCAAAAAAAAATAATTGTTCAAGATGTCTTGATAAGAGCTTATGTTGTGTCAGAGATGCGGAGGAAGATAATGTTGATAATAAACAAATGAAAATTTTTTTTTGCAATCATTGAATTGTACGTCTTATTTGCATTTTTTTTCTAAACAAATCCTTCATAGTCACCTAATCCCAACACTTACATTGGAAAATGCAATTCTTTGTAAATCATTTTGACACATTTAAGTAATTTGTAATAATCTAGTATAATATCTGTACAAGCAAAAACGATTGATCACATAAATAAATTATATATTTTTAATTAACGCCAGTAAAATAGATATAGATATTAGATATATAGTAAATATATTAGTATTCAATATAATTCATTGTTTTTTCTTGAGTCAGTTCAAAATGTAATCATGTCTTTTTTTTTGAAAAAAGTTCAAGTTAATTCACTGGTAGTGGTCTTGTAAGCTTATTTTTATGTTTACAATTATTCAAACTAAAAATTTTAATAAACATTCAAAATCACAGTCTTAGACAATTTTAATAAAGCTAAATATCAAAATGAAAATACATAAATAACGCTCAGTTATTCAAAATTATTTTTTTTAGTGTATTATTAAGAACACGACTATTATATGTATGCTATATGAGTAACTATTATAATATTATATAATATGGCATATTGACTAGGCATTCCTGATTTATCCTTATTGAGTATTTAAAAAATATGTTCACTATTAAATTATATCATATTATTGCCAATAGTTAACGGTTTTTTTCCAAACACCAATACGTATGAGCACGCACATGTTTCAAACTTGAATAAACTATCAATATATATAACTACTTATATCATATGCAGTATGAGATGTTTTTTGTTTTTCAACCCTATAGTCAAATATGACGTGTTCTCTAAGGAGGAAATTGTTTTGGTGTAGTTTCGACACACACGAAAAATATGTAACGAACCACGATAGTTTTCGATATCCATACGAATACACCTACCTACCCATATAATACTATAACAACAAATAATAGCACGGTTCTATACGGATAGAGCCTGCGCGTAAGAGCATTTTTGCACATCAAAGGCAAACCGTTTTTGAACACACAACGCGTACCGCGGTATACTTAGCTGGTAACTGAACTGAGGGTATACGGGTGGGGTATTAGGGGGCTTAATGTATACGTGTCTCTGACAACCGGGGAGTCATTATACGCAGACACGGAAAGTTTCACACGGTCTGGCGAGGGTGGGCACTTGCACAATAGTAAGCGGAAATGAAAACGTCCGACGTCGGCGATCGTCCCTAGGAGGTTGAATGTACACACACTAACACTTCCCTGTAAGTAGTTTTTTTTTTTCTAGTGCTAGAAAAATAACACGTGTTGTGTGAAAGTGACTATGGACTACACGCCGCTGCAGCACCACAGGGTAAAGCTGCGCGAAAAGCATAAAATATTATATTTTATCATTTCATTCTTCTCCCGAGCGGCAGGTTCGCACCTATATTATATCATTATGTTATCAATTTTCATTCGAAAAGCTTGTGCCCCGATCGGTATTGCCACTGCAGTCATAATAATAATATACTACCATATTTGTATGTAGGTTCTGTCTTTAATAATACTATTAGGTTTGAGTACCTACTGTTTATTTTTTTAACCACATGGTTGGTTTCGCAGTCCTTCATATACTCTCTATTTATCGTTCTTCGTCTCTCTTGCAGACTATAGTTTCATCAACTTACTCTATAATGCAGCGTTAGAAATCTTTTGATTAACAAACGATGTTCCGGTCTCATCAATTTCCCCTCCTATTATTCTGTATACAATTTAGTCCATATTCCTGCTCTTTAGTGTGTGTCCAATAATGCCCCATTGTCTTACTATAATTATTCCAAGTATCTCTCTGTAACCATTTATTTCTTCGAGTATGCTATAGTTCGTTAGTCGTTGTATCCAGCTCACTCGTAACACCCTTCAATCTTCTGCAGCATCAAATCTCTATACCTTGGAGAAGATAAATAATATGCGTTCCTGTTCCTGGTCGCGGGAATTATAACAATTCACACCGTTTGCTTCGATCCGAGGGGAAAATCAAATAAAAGGAGAGAATGAAATTTTTGAGAGTGGGATAGTATTTTTATACTAAAAGAATCTTTTAAGACTTTTATACATTCGTGTATACGCTAAATGTTATAATTCATGGGTACTTACCCAAACACCCGATTTCGATGTCGGTACTCTACAGTGAATCCATTTTGCAAAACTTGGATGAAAACATATAGTGCGCCCAGAAAAAAAACTTTCTAAGTTCTTATAAAAATGTATAGTTAATTTAATGGTTCATTAGGTACCAAATAAACTAAAGTTAAACGTTAATAACACTTAAACTTTCAATTTAAGTAAATTCCTTGATTTATATAACGTATTAATATCATCGGTGGCGTATTTAGATGGGGTTTAACCCCCCTCTTCCGCCGAGAATAAAAGTATGTGCGTTTACAATTATTATTATTAAGTATACCCTAAAAAATAATAACTCTGGATTTCTAATCCCTCCTCTCTCTAAATTAAATCCTATATATATACGCCACTGAATATCATACGATGGTGAATCAGAAGTGTATATAGACTTTCAACCTTCATAAATATTTATTTTATAGAATTCGTGAAATTTGACCTTTCAAATATTTATAGATTTTGTATTGAAATAGGTACATATCATTACATAGTTAATATATTTTAAGGTCAGATCCGAATTCAGAATATAAATAAATATATATTAGTTATTACTCATATCAATATTGATAACACGTCCTTGAGTCCTAAAATAACTTTTAGCTAAATAAACAGTGCCAAAAACTGTGTTTTAAATTGTTATATATTATGTTTTATACAAAAAAATGAAACGTGTAAACTATTAAGTAGGTACCTATTGTGAACTTTGAATATTAAATCTATACACACTCTGACACTCAATCATATCAATTAAATAATATGATAAAAAAATTAAAACTAATAAATAATTTATCACAATATCACATTGAGTAGGTGTTTTAAAATTTTTGTCTCGATATTATTTAAATATGTTGTTTTCATTATAACTCACAATAAACCCTAATAAAAATATATTATGTAGATATATATTACGATTTACCTGTAATATATAGGTGCTTACTACCAAAATTCTAAGAAAAGGCAATTATCAAAAAAATATGATATCACATAATTATTATAAAAGTCTATTTTAACAACTGCATCAATTAAACATGTCTTGGATCAGTTAACCGATATATACGTCTACAAATTTTAAATCATAAAATCGCTTATTTAGAACTTAATTATTTTTTTACAGTAAACTGATTAAGATATTTTACGTTATCAAATGAAAAAGAGAATATTTTCATTAAAAACGAGATTAAACGTATTGTTACATATTATAATGAAATACCTATGCCGTTACACATATTACGCTGTAAATTTTAATTTGTAATTGTTGTAAACAGTTTTATTTACGCATTCCTACAATCAAATATTACACTTCAATAACAATACATAAAATGAATAATAAAATAACTGATAAAACCTTTTAAGTTAGAAAAAAGTTTTAAAAACATTTTAAATATTATACGGTAAACGGCCATCACAATAATTCTTATTCTTATGCATATTAAACTTGAATATTATGCACCATCGTCTCACGTAGGTACCCGTGGTACATAATATAATATAATGATGAGTCATTATTAAAAATCAAACAAAAATTTAAGCACACGAAAAACATTTTGGATTTCTAGTCGGAGTTCAGTCGACCTAGGGGAATGTCGAATAGTTAAAAACCATTGGGCTTATTAGTTATTACACTCGATTACAGTTTTTTTATTTGGTATCAAAAAACATACAATTCGAACAATATCCTTCCTTAAGTATACACTCTAAGTTCGATTGTCTAATCTACAAAGATGAAAAGCGCTACATGAAACTCTTTCGCCGTTTCTCTGATCTCAAATTTCGAGAGGATAATGACCCTATAAACCGAATTAAATGTACAACGAATGTCTACTGCAACGATATCACAAATCACAATAGGTATATGTTACTATGGTTAATTATAAATAATTAAGAAGTCTAAATTAGCCAAATTACGTTTATGCACAAAATCGATTTAATCAAACAACGATATAGCATCGACAGGCGAATACTTGAACTCTTTTTTATAAGAAAAATTACACAATTTTTCTTATATTTTATAATTTTATAATACAGTAACACTTTGTATGAAAATGATGTGGGTGTATAGTATTACACCAACAACATCGTGAGAGGAAATGAGTTTAACCGAAATGAATACTATTACTATACATTCATATTATTTCAAAAACGAATGGTCTGTGGTCGTGTTGCTATACAGAAGTGTTGCTCGGGGTAGGGGAAGCTGTGCGGAGTGCGGGGCGCTTTTACTATAAAAAAATAGTTAAAATTGAATATGTAATAATTAATACATAACTCTGAGCGGTAGAAATCAGAAATAAGTAGTATATATATTATATAATCAAATGTGTCCTGACTAATTGACCGAGAGCTGTAGAGCCTATAAACTATGATAGCGATAGACTTGAAATTTTGTACCACCATTATACTGATATACCATTGTACCACCATGTGTAGAGGTGCACTAAGAAAGAATTTTTGAAAATTCGTATTGCCAGGGCTATTTTCTGAGATTGTGCCTAAAATAGGAAATGGACAATATCTAGATCAAACTGGTAACGTTTTAATACCGAAATCATAAGGAAAGGTATAATTAATAGGTAGTTTGAATTAACCTTTACGTTTATCCTGATATTTAAATAATAAAAAAACCAATGGAATGGTTAGGTGGTGACATTTTAACTCCTGCAAATGACAAAGAATATGAGATTAATGATTAATTGTTTGGCTCATTTGAAGGAGTTGTAGTAGAATACGTATACAGTATCAGTTGGTTAAGTAAATGGTAATACAAGCAACAGTTCACTTAAGCCACATGGATTTCCTACGCATATACTTCGTCTATAGACTATAAGTAGGAAGACTTAAAGTCAACTTTTTACTAATTTGTTTATGTTTCAACTCGA